AAATTATAGATATTTTTATAAACTGGACTTATAAACATGCAAGCAATGATACAACTCTTCCAATGATCAGTTTGCTTTGTAGACGAAAAAAAAAAGAGACAGATCCATCAAGTCTTTAGACCCCTTTTAGTAGACAGCCCGCCGTGGCCCACAAAAAATTGGGCCAAGCCTGAAATTTCTTTTCAATTTGCTACAGTTCTCCAATCACAGAGTTTTCATGGGATAGTGGCTTACGGAGGGGAGAGCCGAGAATCGAGAGGGAAGCCAATGCAAGATTTGCGTAGATGACCAAAACACACCGAGATTTTTATAAAGAAATTGAATGGACAGAATAATTAAAGTGGAAATATGACGGAAACTTCCCACTAGGGGTGGGCAAAAATCGGTTTTGGTTAAAATTGAAATCGATTTTAAAATAATCGAAATTTTTTTTTTAATTTTGAGAACCAAAACTGAACCGAAATGATCAAAAAACCGATCGATTCGGTTATCAATAAATCGATTTTAAGTCGGTTTGATTTTGGTTTTTGATAATAAATAATAAATAATTATTTTTTTAATAATATATTATATTTTATCATATATTTTATCATATTTTATTATATTTTATCATATAAATGACTTATTTTCGGTTTATTTTTGGTTTTTGGTTTTTGAGAGACTCAACCGAAACTGAACCAAAATATATTCGGTTAACACTAAAACTGAAAAAATAAAACCAAAAACCATTGAAACCTGAATTCGGTTCGGTTTTCGAATAAAAAATCGGTTCGGTTAAAAAATGCCCAGCCCTAGGTGGAAGTGGGAGCAACCCAAAAGCCCACATGACGCACATTCAGATACCCATTTTTGACCATATATATTGGGGTTAGTGCTTATCCGCCTTACCTCCCAAAAATTAAAAGGAAAAAGGACAAATATTACTTTAGTGCATCATTTAAAAATAGGATAGTTTAGTCTTTTTCAATAAAAAATTATTGAAACGACGTAGTTTTAGGATGATTTTCCTCCTAATCTTTAGGAGGTAAGGCTGACAAGAACTTTTTCCATATATATTATATAATAATAATAACATTATTCCATTAAAGCAAATCATGCATGTATATAAGGAACCTGGTTCTGGTTCTGGTTCTGGTTCTTGGC